GCAAGCCTCGGTGTTGCTCCCGCGCCTCGCTCAGCCAGTGAGCGGGTACCGGTCTGTATGTGGGATCCGAACCCTCGGGCGGGAGCGCCGCCGTGCTTCCCAAGCGGCGCACTATCCAGTGCGCCACCGGGCCGGCCCGATGTTATCTTTTAATTCATTTTTTCCATGAACTTTCTGAAGTGCCGTTGTACATACTACAATCTTTCATCCATTCATTGTCGATGGACATTTGCATTGTTTCCACCTTTGGCTTTTGTGAATGATACTGACCTGAACACGTGGGTAGGAATGTCTCTCCGCTTTCCTGCTTTCAGTTCTTTTGGGTGTACATCTAGAAGTGGAGTTGCTGGATCATACAGTATTCCAGGTTTAACTTCTTGCGGCCGCCATTCTGTTTTCTACAGCAACTGCATTGTCTTGCATTCCCGTTAATAGTGCACAAGGGATCCAGAGTCTGCACCCTCACCCACACTTGCTGTTTTCTGGGTTTTTTTTTTTTTATAATAGCCATCCTAATGAGTATGGATTCATCTTCTTTTAAAAATAATTGACCATGAAAAGGGGAGATCCCAGGGTGAGGCATTTTGGGGGCCTTTCCTCAGTGTGCTCTGAATGGAGATAGCGGGGAGGGGCTTGAGGGAGGGCCTACATCTGGAGAGTGCTTAGGGGGAGGAGAGCTGGGATGGAGGTGCAAGACCACACTCACTGAGCTCACAGCATGGGCTCGGGGCTGGCTTAAAGAGAGGTCCTACCATGGGAGAACTGAAGCCCAGAAGGTTCCCCAGGAGGAAAATTTTGCTTGTATGACTCCACTGTTGGGCTCTTGTCCCTGGGGAAAGCTGTTTCTAATTTGAACCTCTCTTTCTGTGTGTTGCTCCTCAGTGCGATAATGCGAAAGGGTTGAAAGCCTTCTACGATGCAATAAAATACGGGCCAAACCACTTGATGGTATTTGGAGGCGTTTGTCCATCCGTCACATCCATCATTGCAGAATCCCTTCAAGGCTGGAATCTGGTGCAGGTAAGGTCTGAGCCACCTTCCGTGTGTGTGTGTGGGGGGGGCTGCCTTCGATTGGCCACCAGCCTTTTGCTGGAGTGGTTCCCTGAACAATGTGGTTCCTAAGTTGCCCAGTCAGGCCTCGTGGACTCTCTCCTGAATTACTACACAGCCTCCCACTGCCCCCACCTCCTGGCCTGACCCTCTGGCCTGACCTGGCAAAGCCCCCATGGTGGGTCTCTGCAGGACAGCCCTGATACCACCACCATGCTTTTGAAACCCTCAGTGCTCACCACTTACTCCCTAGCCTGACTTTCAGGGCCATTGACATAGGCTGACCTGTCTGTCCTATATCACCTCCTGCTCCTGCCACTCACTCCATGCCACAGTCCCTCCAGTCACCCCACTTTTCCCAACATGAACCCGGACCTTGAGCCTCAGAGCCCTGCTCTCACTGTTCCCTTAACCAGGTGACCCTTTCTCCACTCCCTGCTGAACCGACGCCCCCTCCTCCGCTGAAATTCTCTCTGTCTGCTAAGACTGCCTTTCTCCTTGGTTAAGCCTTTCCTGGGCTTCTGGCCAGGTGTTCACTCTTTACACTGGCAGATTTCATACACTATTGAATGCTCCATCAATGAGTGTGTGTTCTGATGAAGGAGATACTCAGCAGTGTTAGCTGTTATTTGGAATGGGAGAGAAAGTGTAGAGGGGGAAGCAGGTAGGAGCCAGGCCACACAGGGGGATCTGTTTTCACACCACTCACATTGACTGAGGACCTTCTCTGAGTTCAGCACTGCATGCATAGTGTGCTGGGGTAGAGCCTGGGAGGGGTGGTGGGTGCAAGCCATGGCAGAGGTGGGATGAGGGAGGGGTGGGGCCCGGGGAGCGTCACCCATTCAGCCCTGGGCAGAAAGGCTTCCCAGGGCAGGTCATGCGGAGCTGGCTGCTGAAGGAGATGGTGGTGGACAGCTGGAGATGTGGAGGAGAGCTGCTGGCAGAGGAAACTGGGCATGCAAAAGCAGGAGGTGGGAAAGTGTGTGGGCCTGGGGAGCAGTGAATCATTCGTTGTGGCCAGAGCAGGCCACACTGAATGTGGGCAGATGCAATGGGAGAGGAGGCCAGTAAGCAGCTCAGCATGCTATGGTGCAAACCTAACCACGCACCTGGGAGCCAGCACAGCTCAGTGTGCTGTGGGAGCCTGCTGTCAAGCCCTCGAGGTGCCCAAAACAGCCATGAGACCTTGGAAAAGCCACTTACCTCCTCTGGGCTTGAGCTTCCTGAATACAGAGGAGCATACTCTCTGCTTCCCTGTCAGAGCCAGGCACAGCCACTTTGAGCTTCAGTTCCCTCATCCATATAATCAAGGTAGTGACAGGATTGATTTCAGAGGGTTGTATGGATTAAAAGATCGCAAAGTGATTAGAACCATGCCTGGCGCAGGGTAAGCTTTTAGTGCTACTTGTTGTGGTTGTTGTTGTTTGTACTTCCCTTTCTCTTCCTACTCCCCAGTTGAATACCTTGTTTACTTAGCATTCCTGGTCTACCCTGCATCCCCACCCTTTATTACGCTGTTCCCACCCCCTGAAACATCCTGTTCTGCCTATATCCAGTATGACATGTGCCACCCATTCTTTGACACCTGGCTTAAATGCAGCCTCCTCCAGGAAGCCTTTCCTGACTGCTACTAGAGGCTACTAAAGAAAGGTCTCCTAGTAATTCTTTTTATCACTTCCTTCCATTTATTTCTAGCAGAGTATGTACACATTCTTCTCTGCCTGGCCCTCTCTCAGCGTTTTGCAGATGTGGGGTGTGTATCAAATGTTTGTCTCTCCTGCTGGACTGTGAGCTCCTTGAAGACAGAACCTAGGCCTGAGTTACCTCTGTTTTTCCCTATGCCTAACATTTCACAGGCTTTATGAGATGGCTGCTGAATGATCAGAGGGATGGAGGGAGACAGGAAGGGGTGGAAGGATGGAAGGCTCTGCAGAGAGATATTTTGTGCAGACACGAGAGGCCAAGCTCCATGTGAACTCCCCTACCCAGAGAGGAATTCCAGGAGCTTCCTGATTCTCAGCCTCACTTGGAACTGTCTGCCCCTCAGAATTCTCTGAGGAGCTGCAGGAACAAGCACAATGTTGGAAACTCCTGGTTTGCCAGCCGGAGCTCCCTGGCTCAGCAAGAGCAAGACAGGCCTTCAGTCTAGAGAAGCTGATGAGATGGGGAACTGGATTACAAGATAGGGATTGCATTAGCCATTTATTACTGGGTAACAAATTACAAAAATTTAGCAACTCAAAACAGCAATATCATTTATTATTCCACTATTTCTGTGGGTCAGGAATTCCAACCCACAGAATGGCTGTGTCTGCTCCAAGACATTTGGGGCCCAGCTGGAAGATGTGAAGACCGGGGGCTGGCAGCATCTGAAGGCTTGACTGGGGCTGAAGGCTCTGCTTTCAAAGTGGCTCACTCATGTGGCTACCAATGTGGCTTCCATCCATGTGGGTCCCTCCATGGTGCTGCTGGAGTGTCCTTATGACATGGAAGCTGGCTTCTCCCAAAGTGAGTCGTCCAAAAGACCAAGGCAGAGGTGGCAAAGTCTTCTTGGACCTAGCTTTGAAAGTGACACACCATTACTTCTGCTGCATCCTATCGATCACACAAGTTAGCTCTTCTTTAGTGTGAGAGAAGAGTACCAAGGTATAGCAGGAGGTGAAGATCACCTGGAGGGACTAACATGTGGGAGGAAGGCAGGAGCTCAAGTTGCCCAGCAAGGGGGACTGGACACTGAGTCCGTCCCGTGTTTTGTAGAACTCCTGCTCATCCTTCAAAACCCTGGATAGGTCCTGCTTCTTCTGTGGTGCCTTTCCTGATGCCCTTCGGTCACCCTATTTCCTTCTGTGCCTCCCATCCTCAACCCCAAAAGTAAATTAATTATTCCTCCTCTACACTGTGCATTCTCAACAAGGTGTGGTATCCCCCCAAAGGGCTGAAAATTGTTTCTTGGGCAGAGGGCAAAAAAGTCATCCTCTTTTTATGTAGAAAGCATAGATATGCATACAGTACATAAACAGATATATGTATATCCACAGTATTACAATTTCATAAGGGGGCCAGAATTAGGAAAAAAATGTCTACAAAGGCTTCTTAGGAGACCGATAAGTGAAAAGAAGGCTGAGAACATTGTTCTACATCACTTTCACATTGCATACGGTATTCTGTTATTAAATGAATTACATGTTGTGGAAAATAATCTGTTCTATACCCCGGTCTTCCCTACTAGATCACGAGCTTCTTGGGGGCAGGGACCCCACTTTATTCATCCCCTGGATCCCAGTGTGTAGCACAGGGCCTGGCACGTAGTAGGTTCACACTGAGTACTGAACTGATCTGAGTGCAGAGGGCAGGCTGGGGAGCCTGAAACCTCTGCGGCAGAGCCTCTTGCACTGTGCACTTGGCTGTGGGGAGGTGGAGGGCTGTGGAGCACGCAGATTCTCAGTCTCTGCCTCCAGGGGATCACTCTGCATTTCTGCCTGGCTCCTTAGGGGTTAATGTTCACGCACAGTTCTCTGCTGCCCTAGCACTTGCTACTAAACACCGGGGCCAGGTCAAGGCCTCCAGCTGGATGTGGAAGGGGAGTTCTGGGGGGCTGGGGACTAGATGGTACTTGACAGCTTGGAGTGCTCCCAGGACTGGAAGGAAGAATCCTGGGATGAGCTCAGGAGGAGGGACTTCTAGCCTTGGGGAGCTGGGGAAGAGAGATATAGAAACAAAGATCAGGATCCTGATGGGGGAGTAGCCTGGGTGCCTGGATTTCTGCCTGTCTCCCACTCTCAGGGAACATTAGCCCCATTTGTTATGGGCCAGACTCTGCAGACCTCCCAAATTGCTCCTTCCCCCCAATTCAGGGAGGCTGAGCTTGCTTCCAGATATGGTGGAGGGGTGGGGGTGAGGGGTCTGTGGTCACTCAAGGGATTTGATGAATTCCTTAACTTATTCAAAACTGGGCTCCCAAACAGAGTTTCACAAATGGGAAAATGCATGTAATTTGTGTAATTGAAAAGGAGCCCTGACTGCCCTTTGGGGGAGCAGTGCTTGCTGGACAGAGACGGCCTGGAATGCGTAATCAGTTGTTTCTGTTTCTTTGTGCCACAAAAATAGGGATGCGCATGCAGGGTGAAAATTCACCCTGGTGCTGAAATCGGTTAAATTTAACTTTTGACTGTTGCTGGGTTTCTTGATTCATGGTTGCTGCATAGAGAGGCTAATATTGTTTTAGTCGTGACATGAGTCATTTAGCCACTGGGAACCTTAGCTCCTCCATCTAGATGGGGGACCTTCATAAGGCCCAGGTTCTGACGTGCAGGCGACGGTAGCTCTGTGCCTCTCTGACTTGGTCAGATCCTGTCCAGGGTGTGAGGCTCAGATCTGGGTCTCACACTGGGAGAGACTGACCAGGGCATGACCCAGGAAGGTGTCAGGGAAGGGTGGGGTCTGGATGCTGGAAAACTGAACATGTTAAGACTAGAGAATACCCAGGGCACTGGGGACGAGAGAGGAGTCTTGGCCTCCAGAGCTGCCTGGCTGTCTTTGAGAGATTTTTCTGGTTCTCTGTGATGCAGGTGGGGAGAAGCAGGAGCTATGACTGAAGTTAGAGGGGAGGAGGGTTTCCACTCCCTGCAAGCAGACCTGCTGCTGAAGGCTTCCAGCATGGAGCAGGCTGCCTGGCAGTGAAGTCATGAGTCCCCAGTTGCCCAAGCTTCTTGAGTGTTCCAGTTTCAGCCAGGCCTGCTGTTGGGGAGATTTAATATAATGCATAGAGTTAGCATAGACCAGGTCTGTGGCTCTCAAACCATACCGAGTCACTCATGGGGGCTCGGGATGTGCTTGTGTTGACAATGTAAATCCCGGGACACCACTCTGAGCAGGGCGGAGTTGGGGGATTTATCAGATCCCTCAAGGACTGTAGACCCCACACATCACCCCTCTCATTTCAGCATTAGCAGCTCAGGTGACTGAGATGC